CCCCCCCCCCTCCCCCCCACCCTTTCTACACCGCAACCCTCAGACATGGCTGGTCCTGACCTAAGGTGATCCTCCCCCCTCCCAACCACCCTTGTTCCCCCTAAAAATTTATTAAAACACCCCTTTAAAAAGAACCTTAATTTGGCCGATTTCAATACTTTTGGATTTGTACCCGCAGCATGCCACCTCTCGGGGTTCCAAACCCCATCCTCAAGGTGGGCCCTAGTGATCTTAATGGGCCAGGCCTGCGCGAGGGGTGAGTCAGACCTCAACTTACAGCCATCCATTTAGCGACCGTTTGAAGTTACAACGCCACTGAAAAATGTGACTTATAACCAGTTCTCCCACTTATGACCATTGCAGCATCCCCACGATCACGTGATCAAAATTCAAGTGCTGGGCAGCTGGCATGTATTTACCCTGGTTGCCGTGTCCTGAGATCCTGGGATTGTCATTTGTAATCTATCTAAGGAGCTTCTGACAAGCAAAGTCCATGGGGGGGGAGTCAGATTCACTTAACAATTGCATGGCTCACTTAACTGCAGCAATTTGCTTAACAACGGTAGCAAAAAAGGTCATAAAACGGGGCGTGACTCACTCAATTGCCATGTTCAGTTAACAAAAATGTGGGGCTCAATTGTGATCACGAGTCAAGGACTGTCTACGGTATCATTGTGAAAATTCACTTGCCGAGTTTCTAACTGGCATGGTTGGTGTATCGCGTGAGTTCCGATCGAGTGGAAAAGGATGCTCCAAGATCCAAAATTCTGCCCAGGAATCTTGCAACCTTTGGTTTTTGATCTCAGCTTTGCGACTTCCGGTGAAGGAGAGGCTGCCGTCTTGCGAGGAAGCTTGTCCTATTAGGAGCTTTCTCCTAAATTTTACAAGGGTAGGCAACCTTGGCTCTTTTATGAGTCGGACTTCAACTCCCAGAATTCCTGAGCCAGCCATACTGAGGGGAAAGGGAGAGTTTCCAAGCTGAGCCATGGTGGCTCAGGAATTCTGGGAGTTGAAGTCCACGAGTCATAAAAGAGCCAAGGTTGCCTATCCCTGTTAAAATTTAGCTCAGCTTTGCTTTGATGCCTTCCAGCCCTGCCTTTTGGTGCTACAGAGAACAAGCTTGCTGTGTTCAGCTGGTTGACTTGTTCTGAAGCCATCTGGGAGAGGAGCGAGTTCAAGGTGATTTTTTTTTACGGTGTTCCTGTTTTCTCCTCTGGGCTGTAGGGTGAGCTGTATCTGGGCACAGCATACGGCATCATGATCTCCTACTGGCATGCTGTGGTGAACTTCGCCATGTATCTCGTCATGATTGCAGCCATTGTTCAAAGGTGAGAAGCCAAGTTTCAGCCCTTTGAGATAGATCAGGTCAAGAAGTAGACCACAAAAACTCCTGGGACTCTATTGTATTTTTATACGGGATGATAACTGTAGAGAGAAAGGGAGGTGATCTTGATGAAAATATGCGAGAAGTATAATCTGGGCCAGGGGTAGGGAACCTTGGCTCTTTTATGACTCGTGGACTTCAACTCCCAGAATTCCTGAGCCAGCCATGCTGAGGGGAAAGGGAGAGGTTTCCAAGCTGAGCCATGCTGGCTCAGGAATTCTGGGAGTTGAAGTCCATGAGTCATAAAAGAGCCAAGGTTGCGTACCCCTGATCTGGGCAAAGGGGGATGAAACATATTTTGAGTCCTGAGAAACAAAGTAATATTGTGAGGTGGCTCAGGCTAACACCTCCTTGATCCACTGAAGTATAAAAGGATGGGGAGGTACAGAGAGTCCTCCACTTATGACCACAATTGAGCCCAACATTTCCGCTGCTAAGTGAGACGGTGGTTAAGCGGGTTTTGCCTCATTTTGTGACCTTTCTTGACACTGTTGTTAAGTGAATCATCGTACTTGTTAACTTAGTAACGTGGTTGCTAAGTGAATCTGGCTTCCCCATTGACTTTGCTAGTCAAAAGGTTGCAAAAGGAGATTACGACCACAAGGTCGTAAAATTGGGTGTGATCGTATGGTGACCCGCTTAATGACCACCAGGACTTAACAACCATAATTCTGGGTTCAATTACGGTCATAAATTGAGGACTACCTGTAATGCTTTCCAGGATATCTGCTTGTTTTCTAAAAAGAGTTACCGGAACATTCTGCTTTCTAGAAAGAGTTATCGGACTGTTGGTCTCTATTGGACAGGATCCTTCATCATGACACTTGTGGTCTTCCTGCTGGGCAATGTGATTGGTGAGTCTTATTTTTTTATTTCTGGACTTTACAAAATCCTTTTCCCATTTCAGTTATGTTTTAAAATAAAAAAGTCCATTCCTTAGAATAAAAGATATTGGCAGGGTGCTAAAAGAATAGAATGGACTGGCTATTATGGGAATTTCTGTTTTCAAAAATACCGATAGCAGAATCCATTGTCAAAATTGTTATTAGTTGATCAGAATGTAAAATACAAATAACAGAATAACAGAGTTGGAAGGGACCTTGGAGATCTTCTAGTCTAACCCCTTGCTCAGACAGGAAACCCTATACCATTTCAGACAAATGGCTGTCCAGTCTCTTCTTAAAAACCTCCAGTGTTGGAGCATTCACCGCTTCTGGAGGCAGGTTGTTCCACTGGTTAATTGTTCTAACTCTCAGGAAATTTCTCCTTAGTTCTAGGTTGCTTCTCTCCTTGATTAGTTTCCATCCATTGCTTCTTGTCCTGCCTTCAGGTGCTTTGGAGAACAGGTGGACTCCCTTTGTGGCAGCCCCTCATATATTGGAAGACTGCTATCATGTCACCCCTAGTCCTTCTTTTCATTAAACTAGACATACCCAATTCCAGCAACCCTTCTTTATATATTTTAGCCTTCAGTCCCCTAAACACATTTGTTGCTCCTCTCTGTACTCTTTCTAGAGTCTCAACATCTTTTTAATAATGTGGCGACCAAAACTGGATGCAGTATTCCAAGTGTGGTCTTACCAAGACTATAAAGTGGTATTAACACTTCATGTGATCTTGATTCTTTCATTCTGTTAATGCAGCCTAAGATTCCAAGATCCCTCTAGCAGTTACTGTTATTGAGCCAGGAAATGAAAATGAAAATAATGGGAAATTAAGGGTACGAAAAAGCAAAACTAAAAAAGGGCATTGACTTATGACTCTTTTTAGCACAGTAGAAGATAGTAACATTACAGCCTCAACTTTTTACTCTTACACAATAATATACACTAGACCTTTCTATAACAATGAACCTACCTAATCAGTAAAATCAAAGTCAAATTTTCATTTTTCCATCATAAGGTCAAAATCCAGAAACAGTTTCCAAATGAAAACAAAATTAGACATATTCTTTTCTTTAAATAATTAACTTTAACATTTCTACTTTTTTCTTATGGGCAATAATATATATATATATTTGCTTGCACTTATTAATCTTTATCATCATTTATATTAACAAAATTCACTATACTGTTTCATATTTTTTAACCTTAAGTAAAAAAAACACCTCTTTTTTAACCTCCATTTTAAAGCTTTAAACGTTTCTCTAGAAATATTTCAAAAATCAATAAATCCTGATTTTTTACTTCTAGGGAAATACAGCTCTGAGATCCGACCAACCTTTCTGTTCAGCCTTCTTTACCTCATCATACCCATCTGGGCAGCCAAAACATTCTTTGCCCAGCCCAAGACCTGCTCTTTGCCAACAGCTGATCAGGTATGAAAAATATATATTTAAAGATAGTCTTGGCCTACAATTATTTGTTTAGTGACCGCTAGAAGATACAGTGGCACCGAAAAAAAGTGACAGCTGGTCCTCTCACATCACACATCATTGCAGTATCCCCACAGGCACTTAATTAAAATCTGGGCACTTAACAGAATAAGATAATTGGAAGAGACCTTGAAGGTCTTCTAGTCCAACCATATAGACTAGACTAGACTAGACTAGACTAGACTAGACTAGACTAGACTAGACTAAACTAGACTAGACTAGACTAGAAGAATAGAATAGAATAGAATAGAATAGAATAGAATAGAATAGAATAGAATAGAATAGAATAGAATAGAATAGAATAGAGCTGGAAGAGACCTTGGAGATCTTCTAGTCCAACCCCTACTTAGGCAGGAAATCCTATATCATTTCAGACAAATGGTCGTCCAATCTCTTCTTAAAAACTTCAAGTGTTGGAGCATTCATAACTTCTGGAGGCAAGTTGTTCCACTGATTTCAGAGTAATGGTTGTCCAATATCTTTTTAAAAGCCTCCAGTGATAGAGCTCCCACAACTTCTGGAGGCAAGTCATTGCATTGATTAATTGTTCTAATCATCAGGAAATGTCTCCTTAGTATTCTAGGTTGGTTCTCTCTCCTTGATTGATTTCCATCCATTAGAAATGAAACAAAACAAAACAAAACAAAACTTTATTGTCACTTTAAATGTATACTAATCAGCATACGTTAAAATGAAATTTCGTTGCATTCAGCTCTCAAAATATACCATTATACATATGCCCACATACACACACATATATGACACAGAGAAACATCACAATCTAGTTCGAATGTATACATTTTCATGGCGAAAAAAAAAGAATCCTGCAAATTTACAAGACGGATGACATAAGAAGCAAGGCTGTTGCAGAATCTAGTAGTCCTGCTATAAATACTTCGAAACCTCCTCCCAGAGGGGGGCAACAGAAACAGACTGTGAAGTGGGTGTGTGAGGTCTCTAACAATGCTTCAAGCTCTAAGCACATAGGGCTTATAAGCAGTGTCTTGGATAACGGGAAGCGAGCTTCCTATAATCTTCCCAGCTGTCCTTACCACTCTCTGTATGGACCTTCTATCTGAGGCACTGCTAGCACCAAACCAAACAGTGATGACGTTTGTTAAAACGCTCTCAATCGTACCTCTGTTAAAAGTGGCCAGGACAGAAAGAGAAAGATGTGCTCTCCTCATCCGATGCAGGAAATGCAAATGCTGGTTTGCACACTTCACTAAGGATAAAGTATGAAGAGACCAGGTCAGATTGTTAGTTATTTGCACCCTCAGGTACTTAATACCATTGACCACCTCCACCGCTGAAGCCTTGATACAAAGTGGAGTATGACTATGCTGGCTCTTTCTAAAATCAACAATGATCTCCTTTGTTTTATTAACATTCAAAACCAGGTTGTTTTTATTGCACCAGTCCGCCAAAGCCTTCACCCCCTCCCTATAAGAATTTTCGTTATCATCCCGGATAAGACCCATAATTGCCGTGTCATCCACATACTTTGTTTCTTGTCCCACCTTCAGGTGCTTTGGAGAATAGGCTGACTCCCTCTTCTTTGTGGCAGCCCTTTAGATATTGGAACCAGTATGTATTTAGCAACCAGTGTGTATTTAGACAAGGGGTCTTCAAACTTGGCCCTTTTATGAATTGTGAACTTCAACTCCCAGAATTCCTTAGCCAGGCACGCTGGCTGAGGAATTCTGGGAGTTGAAGTCCACAAGTCATAAAAGGGCCAAGTTTGAAGACCCCTGATTTAGACTGTTGCAACATTGAGCAGGTGATATGATCTCCATTTGTGACCTTCCCAGCTGGTTTCCGACAAGCACAGTCAATGGGGGAAGCCAAATTTGCTTAACAACTGCAGAACTCATAAAAGGGCCAAGTTTGAAGACCCCTTTTTTTTAATCTGGCTACTGTGTTGGGCTGACCTGTATAATAGTGCTT